AGAACTGCTTATTTAGCACCTTGGGGGTGGAATAATCTACTTTGTACAAAAGAGCTAAAGTTAGAAACCCTTATGTCCATTAATGAATTTAAAACTACTGTAAATAGTGTTGTGATGGAGACATGTTCTTGTTTTTCTTGAGTATCATTATGTTCTTAACTTAACTTAATTGTGTTCTTAACTTCTTTTATCATGAAAATGTAACTTTTATTATGTATAATATGGTGTTTATTATGTATGTATGTGTTGTGTTTTGGCTGCTACCTTGGCCAGGTCTCTCTTGTAAAAGAGATTCTGAATCTCAATGGGATTTCCTGGTTAAATAAAGGTATAAAAATAAAATGTTAGCAAACATGTCACCATGTTCTCTGCAGACAAGTCACTAACCAGCCTGCAAAATATTCTTGTATTTAATCTTGACTTGCTGCCAAGTCCATTTTTGGCCAGACATGTTTGTTCTTTAGATACAATTGTTAGATACATAGATGCAAATGATAAAATAGATTAGATGGATAAAAATAGAGCAAAATATCTGATTATAGATTACATTAAATCAAGTAGGAAACACAACCTACATACAAATAGATACGAGTAAAAAGATTAAAGAGATAATCAACTAAATACATCAAATTTACATCTCTGGGAGCATGTGGAAGAGATTTTCCCCTGCCAGGTCTCCACCACAAGCATCACTATTAGAGCGCAGGGTGGTAAGTGTCTGCAATTATTCTGCATGTTAAATGTACGTATGTCCACTGGTCACATTTAAGGCAAAGTATACAATTATGTTTCTAAATGACAAGTAACTCCTCGAATTGTAATTAAGAGGGTTACAGTGGAGCACTGCACAGTCAAAAAATAATGCTGGGTTGTTTTAAACCAATTTTGGGTCAAATATGGGCAAACCCAGCTGTTGGGTTAAATTTATTAATTGCATTTTTAAATCCAACATTTGGGTTTGTCCATATTTGACCCAAACTTGGGTTAAAACAACCCAGCATTTTTAGAGTGTGGTTATTTATGGATTTACGCGTTCAATCGATCTGCTATTGTTTGCCATGGTATTTTCTCTTTGTTTTATTAAAGCAGCTGCATTTTTTTTACATATTACATAAGTTTCCATTAGAAGCTGTTGTTGCGTTTTGTCCACTTTTGGATCGGTGATTCTGTGATCGATTTCGCGCTCTTTTTAAGAATGCCGTGAACGTGCATTTATCCAAACTATATACACCAGGCTTGACATATCCGCGCGTTCTCATCCTGGCTCAGCAAACGTGCAACGGATTAAGCCAGGATGCACTGATCAAACTAGGTCAAACCGCGATTGTTCAGTTATCCTGACTTTATTAACTCTACTTTTGTGCAATACCCCTCAGATCACTGAAACCCTTCTCATTATTTACAAGACTATAGAATGCAAATTCTATTTTTAGTCTACCAGCCACTAATTTCATAAACATCACTTCAACATTAATACTATTAAGCTCCAATCCTTGATTTTTCCTGGTTTTCCATATTGCCAATTTCGCAGTTCCTGTTAAATAATTTAACAGACACATCTTCCTTCTTTTTACATTTTTTTATTTAACAGCCCCTGTAAAAACTTCCTCTGAGAAATCGTCACCAAAAACTTGAAACAATCTATTAAGGCTCTGGGTAATTGCTGGTCCACAATCATCACAACTTCACCAATTTGAAGGTTGTCTGATTTTCTTTGCCATTTTTGTCATCGTTGCAAGTCGGAGAGGTAATGCCGTATGAAACATTTCCAGAAGTTTTTAATTAGAATTTGGCCATAGCGCCATCTCCTACGACGGAGCATTTCCGATTCCAGATAAACAACTCATAATCCAGAAGATGGACGTCCCATGAGGAGGGAATTAGGTGCCACTGGGTCTATATCTGCTCTGTCTGAGGAAACATATCCCAAGGGTCCAGAGTTTAATATTCCCTCTATTTCCACAAGTACCGTGTTCAGTACTTCCACTGGCACAGATTGAGAACCTAGAAAGGTACGCAGTGCAGTCTTGATAGATCTAACCTCTCTCTCCCAAGATCCACCAAAATGCGGTGCATGGGTTTAGACGGAAGTTATTCTGTTGAGAAGCCAGATTCTCTTTCAAGATTGGCTGAAGTGCATTGAAGGCATTCTGAAGTTCTGTAATACCTCCTTTGAAATTTGTGCTGTTATCAGAAAGCACTTCATACGGTTTCCCTCTGCAAGCTATGAACCTTCTTAACGACAAGAGAAAGGAGTCTGCATCAATGCTCGATAGAAGTTCAATATGAACAGCTTTGGTAGTAAGGCACTTGTACAGTATTCCCCAACGTTTTTCACATCTGCGTCCAAACTTAACCTGGAAGGGGCCAAAACAGTCAAATGCCCGTTGAATAGAAAGCGACGAAATCCTCCATCATAAGAATTTCTCGCTTCTCTCGCCCTTTCTTACATTCAAAGCAGCTGCGCTGGTGTCTTTTTACTGCCTCTCACGATCCAATATTTTCATCTCAGTTCTGCGAACACGTGCTCAGGTCCTGGACTTAACAAGAGGTTGTCGTGATGTTGAATCAGAAGCTTTACAAGACGGTGAGCGGGATCTAAGACAATAGGGTGAACAGTGTCTTACATCTGCGGAGGCATCCACCTACTCAGACTAATTTGGCTTTGTGATCATACTCTGGGGCTAGAGTTAGAAGATGACTAGAGTGAGATACAGGTTTGGGCTATTTCTTCTGGGAAGCTTTCAACTTCAGCATGTCTCAGAAGCTCTTGTTCAGCTTGTGTATAGTCGACAGCAGAAAGTTCACTTTCGTCTGCCGCCCCATGAAGGGAAATAGCAGTAGCCTTAACCAGATCTTAAAGTGAATTGTATCGAGAGATATCTGCGGTGTATAACTGCAGTGTTCTTGGATGTCATCGCTTACAACATTATGAGGCTGTTTGGGCCAACTACTAACTGACTGAGATAAGAACTGTGGAGCTTGATTCCATCGGCTTTTATCCGTCTCCTCTGGTGTTCGCTTTGAGATATAGCCTGCCTTTTCAAGTTTCTGCACTGTAACATCTGAAGCAAGATCTGTGTTCTGCAAAAGGCGTTTTTCTGTGCTTCTTAAATGGGCTGGTACTGCTTCTTTAGCTGATTGCAAAGGTGGAAGATTCTTTTCCAGAGGAGAGGTGTTGCATACCTTTGAATATCTCCGACTGCCACCCTGATTATTTTTCCTCAAGGATTTGCACCGCTTCTGTGTCTCACTCCTATACGGAAGTGTCCATTTTGCCACAATTTCTGTACATTGTTGAACAGTTCAGCTTTTGTTGACAAAGTGGAGGTGTTGTGGTAAGAGATGACTGGCAAGGAATTCCCTGCAGAGTCCACCCGAGTCTGGTTTTCACAGCGGCAGGACTGCCAGGAGGTCTGAGACGTACTGGCTCTGTAGCTGTGATTAAATGTGGATAATCTGAGCCAATGAGTAAGAATGGTTGAGCCTGCTGCAATGAGGGAATGGGCAGACCTTGCAGATATCTCTATTTCTTCTGCAGCAACTTAACAGGGTAAGTGTGTTTTGCGAGGCTCAGTTCTTTGGCTCTTGCAATGGTGAAGATTTGTTTGGCTGAAATGCAGAAGCTACTGAGAATGAAACAGCCACCCCATGAACAACCCGTATGTCTTGTCTCACAGTACGGAGGGCTATATCTTCAGGAAGTCCTTGAAGATCAAGTTGCTGTGCTGCTTCATACAGTAACATTGTCCTCTCTGATCCATCATCCAATATAGCGCATGTGTCAAGTTCCTTCTCTCCATTTCTCAAGATCACTCGGCTGACCTTCAAAAGAACTTTGCTGCCTGCAGTTGGTCTGTCCATATACAAAGTCTCTACTTCTGAGTTCACAAGACAACCGTTTTCTGCTGAAGCTTGTGTTTCATGTTTACCTTTGGCATTGAAGTCAGTACACATACAGTATTTCTAAATGTCTCTTTTCACATTTTTTGCATTTGGCTTGAAGATTACATTGTAAGATCTGGTGATGACAGCCACACCTAAAGCACTTCTGATTTGACTCCACTTGATCTTGATTCAGCAGTTTGAAATTAGCGCACTGATTGAAGTAATGCTGCACAGTGTTGCAGAAGGGGCAGTACTTTGTCGGTTTCTCCTTCTTGACTGCTGTAACACTTGCTGGTTTACTCTGTTCACCACCATGCAAGACAGTAGCAAATCGTTGAACCAGCTTGCAATTCCTTTGCTGTTCTCTCTGTGGCTGAGAGTAGGCTCTGCTTACATTACTAATGTACTGTGACTCATCCTCTTGTATTCTGAGCTCATATTCAAGCCAATCGCGGAGTTCTATCAGTGTTGGAACTGGGTTCTGAATGGGGTTAACAAACCTTCTGAAGTTTGCTTTAAGATCATGAGGCAATTTGGCAAGGAGACGTGAAACATGTGACCCACATTTGAGCTCTTTCCATCCTTTAGCTCCAAGTTGGTCCAGCATTCCAACTCATGCACGCACATTGAGGGAAAACATTCTAAAAGATTTAGTGTCACCACTCCTGATTTTTGGGCCATCCATCAATTCAGCAATTCTTTGTAGTGCGAGTTGATGTGGTTGACCATAAAGTGCAGTTAGAGACCTCATGGTGTTGGTATATGGGTACCTGCTGTTGACGTACGAGTCTGCAGTGAGCAAGGCATTCTCCTGTTTCAGATGATCAACGAGTTTTTGGTACTTGAAACAATCTGTGACCTCGGCAGGTAGCAAATTCTCCAGTGCAATTTTAAGTCGTACAAACTCTCTGGGATCTTCACTGCAAAAATGAGGAATGGTGGGAATAGGACCTCTGTAGGTGGGCTCTATATGAGGATATGGAAGAGAAGGAGGGTGCACTGGGTGGTATGGCTGATATTTCTCAGCTGAGCGTAATCTGCGTACTGTCGTGGGGTCAAGAAGCTTGATTTGTCCGCAGGATTAGGAGCTTATTGACCATAGCTGTCTGAGTGTCGCTCATGTGCATGGTGAGCTAATGTATCCCTTGGAGTAAGTCTCTCATCTTGATAGACTGGAATTGTAGCTGAAATCCCATGATAAGGTTGATGATAACCATATGGTTCAGTGAAAGTGAAATAGCAGACAGGTTTGCAGTTCAGACTATGATCTTTTTTAGGTCCCATACGTAGCTGCCGTCTCTTGACTGTAGTCCTGAGGCATAAACTGAACAGCTGCGGGATATTCGTTGCGATCTCTTTGGTCAGTGGACATATAGTTATGGCCTCCGTGGTCTGTGTTGTAGTAACCACGTGGTCTATCCATGTTCCTAATACCAGGTTGAGGATATGTAGCATCTTCTTGATGGGCTAGCTTGTGTTGGGATTGAGTTGGTTCATAAGAAGAGAAAGGATGATTTGAAGTTAGCCGAGTTGCCGAGCCTGGTAGTCTCAGGTCTCCTAGGTTGTCAGTGAGATAATCAATCTCTTTGTGACTGACAGAATGAGAATGCAGAAGGTCACCTCGTGAATCTACAGGCAGTGCCCTCATGGGCTGAGGAGGATCGTCTTGAGCTCTAGGCAGAACTGTCCTGCCCTCAGTGGCTTCTGTATATGGACTTGAGGAGAGAACTCTCTGATCTGCATAAATTATTCGCCTTGGAGAAGTCCGAGTACGGGGCATTGGCTGCGGCGGTTTGTTGGGCCAGCTACTCCCCACCAAGAGATACACAGCTTTGCTTGTAAAGGACACCATTACATCTGCGAGAGAAATTCCAAACAAACAGTGAAGAATATCAACTTTGTGGCTTAAAGTGCATGTCATGTAAAGATGATAGAGTATATGCTTCAGATCAGCCAATAGCTCACCTGTTCCCTCCTCAGTACCATTCCTATTTACAAGAAATATGTCTTGCAGTTGGTCTTCAAAATTGGGGCTGAAAAACACTGACGCATCAACAGTAAGAGAGGCGCAGCCCATGGCATTCATCTGGTAGGAGAACAAAGAGACAATTAAGTCAAGCACAGGCAAAAGGAAAACCCTCTGCAGTAAGGCAGGAGTCACACACCTTTGCGGTTTGAGTCAGGCACTGTCTGGTGAAATGCTGAAGCAGACTGTATGGAAATGGATCACAGCACACTTCCACTAAGGCTTGACCAGGTACAGGTTAGCCATATGTATATCTGGGAAACATCATAGCAAGATAAAGAACTGACCAACCACAAGACAAGAAAATAAAGCATCACTCACTTGGCACAAGACTCAACTTTCAGTCCCATAACTGCAACGCTGTAGGTCTACGGTGCGTTTACGGTCACGTCAAACTTGGGCAAAACTAAACCAGAAACAAAACGCTTTAGATCAAGGCCTCAGATCCGTCATTGAACTTCCCTTACACAACAACTTACCGTATTTTTTCACCTCAAAGACTTGGGAGACTAGTGTTGGGACTCTTCACTCCATAACTACTCCATTCTGCGGCGGCTAGGTCTTGTGTCTGATGGACGCACGGACGGACGGACGCACGGACGGACGCATGGACGGACGGACGGACGGACGGACGCACGCACGCACAGACGCATGGACGGACGGACGCACGCACGGACGGACCAACGCACGGACGGACGGACGCACGCACAGACGCATGGACGGACGGACGCACGCACGGACGCATGGACGGACGGACGCACGCACGCACGGACGGACGCACGCACAGACGGACGGACGGACGGACGCACGCACGCACGCACGGACAGACGCACGTCCTTCCGACAGTCATATTAAAAGACCACATTCATTAACAAAAGCTAGTATAGACCATTACAACACAAGCCTACATTTTTTTCATTTTATCTTTAAGTCATGTACCAATTTCTAGAGCAAGAATCAAACTAACAGACATACAGACACTGAAGTTGGGATAAAAATTCAGGCCCTTGTACTTCAGACACTGGGGTAAACTATAGTGGCATTCTAATCAGAAGTGCCACACACTAAAATATTCAGATTAAAAGCCCAAACGAAAAACCTGATTGCGGCACACAGACACCCTTTCAGCACTCAGACGTCTTCCTGGCTCCATGATCCAGACGCTCTGATCTACCACACAGAGATCCTGCTTGAGCAGAAACCATCAGAGCGTTTCCCTCCGCAGGAACAGCCGTAGCTGGAGAAAACAGCAGAGACACCTGGAACAAGGACCAACACACTGTAGGACCCACACCAATATTCCCAAATTGAAAAATAGCCACATCATACAGTACCTGGTTCTGGAAACACATATCGGTGTCAAACGGCACATTAGCAGCAACTACATTCTCACTGGGAAGAACGCTGTAGACCAGAATCTGCACCGCTGGAGCCATATCGACGCTGACAGACAACTGGAACGTCACAGAGCCACTTGTGTCTGCATCACCAGTCTTTGCTTTAACCGTCTGAAATCCATGGAGGACGATCACTCCTTTGGATAAGACCTGACAGAAGACATAGGTGTGCAAGTTGTGGAACAAATAGACCAGCAAACTTAACTACAAAACTAATGTCCACTCACCATATAGATTATGTCAGCGCTGTAGCTACCAGCCTCTCCAACAAATGAATACTCCACGGTCACTGGAAACGAAGCACCACATTTGAGCGGCTGATTGAGCTTCATTATAGTCAGTTCACTAAACGATGGGTTGTCGGGAGAAACAGGTAGGAGAAGCTGAACAAACCTTGTATCTGTAGTGAAGTATGGCGATTTAGAACCATAAAAAACCTCTGGATTAGCACTCGCCTGGGGAAGATCAAACTTAATCAGTATCATGCTAGAGAAAGTCTTAATTTAAAAAAAAAAAAAAGTCGTACCACCAGATTCAGATCAGCAGTGTTTAGGGAGAACGCGGCCCGTCCATTCTTGTTTGTGGTTAGATTCAACAGCAGTTTGTTGGGCCAGTTGCTCCCCTCCAAGAGATATACAGCTTTGTTTGTAAAGGACACCAATGCAGATTGACACCATTACATCTGCGAGAGAAAGTCCAAACAAACAGTGAAGATTATCAACTTTGTGGCTTAATGGATCACGGCACACTTCCACTAAGGCTTGACCAGGTACAGGTTGGCCATATGTATATCTGGGAAACATCATAGCAAGATAAAGAACTGACCAACCACAAGACAAGAAAATAAAGCATAACTCACTTGGCACAAGACTCAACTTTCAGTCCCATAACTGCAACGCTGTAGGTCTACGGTGCGTTTACGGTCACGTCAAACTTGGGCAAAACTAAACCAGAAACAAAACGCTTTAGATCAAGGCCTCAGATCTGTCATTGAACTTCCCTTACACAACAACTTACCGTATTTTTTCACCTCAAAGACTTGGGAGACTAGTGTTGGGACTCTTCACTCCATAACTACTCCATTCTGCGGCGGCTAGGTCTTGTGTCTGATGGACGGACGGACGGACGGACGGACGCACGGACGGACGGACGGACGGACGGACGCACGGACGGACGCACGCACGGACGCACGGACGGACGCACGCACGGACGGACAGACGCACGCACGGACGGACAGACGCACGCACGCACGGACGGACAGACGCACGCACGGACGGACAGACGCACGCACGGACGGACAGACGCACGGACGAACGGACGCACGGACGGACGCACGCACGCACGGACGGACAGACGCACGCCCTTCCGACAGTCATATTAAAAGACCACATTCATTAACAAAAGCTAGTATAGACCATTACAACACAAGCCTACATTTTTTTCATTTTATCTTTAAGTCATGTACCAATTTCTAGAGCAAGAATCAAACTAACAGACATACAGACACTGAAGTTGGGATAAAAATTCAGGCCCTTGTACTTCAGACACTGGGGTAAACTATAGTGGCATTCTAATCAGAAGTGCCACACACTAAAATATTCAGATTAAAAGCCCAAACGAAAAACCTGATTGCGGCACACAGACACCCTTTCAGCACTCAGACGTCTTCCTGGCTCCATGATCCAGACGCTCTGATCTACCACACAGAGATCCTGCTTGAGCAGAAACCATCAGAGCGTTTCCCTCCGCAGGAACAGCCGTAGCTGGAGAAAACAGCAGAGACACCTGGAACAAGGACCAACACACTGTAGGACACACACCAACATTCCCCAATTGAAAAATAACCACATCATACAGTACCTGGTTCTGGAAACACATATCGGTGTCAAACGGCACATTAGCAGCAACGACATTCTCACTGGGAAGAACGCTGTAGACCAGAATCTGCACCGCTGGAGCCATATCGACGCTGACAGACAACTGGAACGTCACAGAGCCACTTGTGTCTGCATCACCAGTCTTTGCTTTGACCGTCTGAAATCCATGGAGGACGATCACTCCTTTGGATAAGACCTGACAGAACACATAGGTGTGCAAGTTGTGGAACAAATAGACCAGCAAACTTAACTACAAAACTAATGTCCACTCACCATATAAATTATGTCAGCGCTGTAGCTACCAGCCTCTCCAACAAATGAATACTCCACGGTCACTGGAAACGAAGCACCACATTTGAGCGGCTGATTGAGCTTAATTATAGTCAGTTCACTAAACGATGGGTTGTTGGGAGAAACAGGTAGGAGAAGCTGAACAAACCTTGTATCTGTAGTGAAGTATGGCGATTTAGAACCATAAAAAACCTCTGGATTAGCACTCGCCTGGGGAAGATCAAACTTAATCAGTATCATGCTAGAGAAAGTCTTAATTTAAAAAAAAAAAAAAGTCGTACCACCAGATTCAGATCAGCCTTAAGATTAGCAGTGTTTAGGGAGAACGCGGCCCGTCCATTCTTGTTTGTGGTTAGATTCAACAGCAGTTTGTTGGGCCAGTTGCTCCCCTCCAAGAGATATACAGCTTTGTTTGTAAAGGACACCAACGCAGATTTTGACACCATTACATCTGCAAGAGAAAGTCCAAACAAACAATGAAGATTATCAACTTTGTGGCTTAATGGATCACGGCACACTTCCACTAAAGCTTGACCAGGTACAGGTTGGCCATATGTATATCTGGGAAACATCATAGCAAGATAAAGAACTGACCAACCACAAGACAAGAAAATAAAGCATCACTCACTTGGCACACCATAACTGCCACGCTGTAGGCCTGCGGTGCGTTTACAGTCACGTTAAACTTGGGCAAAACTAAACCAGAAACAAAGCGCTTTAGATTAAGGCCTCAGATCCGTCATTGAACTGCCCTTACACAAAAACTTACCATATTTTTTCACCTCAAAAACTTGGTAGACTAGTGTTTGCACTCTTCACTCCATGGCTACTCCATTCTGCGACGCCGCGGCCTAGTCATGGTCGCCTAGGTCTTTGTATCCCACAGCCTCATTGCCACAGCCACAGCTCTCCACCTCATTTGCCTTTGACTAGCTCCACCCTCCCTAAGGTTCCACCTCCATCTATGGTTGCTGCAGCTCTGCCTCTAACCTCAGGATCGCTGCTTCCACTTCAGGGGGTCGGCGCTGTGGCCTAGTCGCGGTCGCCTAGGTCTTTGTGTCTCACTGCCTCATCTCTTCTCTGGCTACGTTGTGTGCTCCACCTCCATCACCTCCGGTAATCCCCTTGGTAGTGTTCGGACTCTCCACTCCATGGCTACTCCATTCTGCGCCGCCGCCGTGGGATGCAGTCCTGACTGTGGGCTGGGTCTCCGTCGGCTTTTTTCCTGCTCAAGGCCATCCCCCCTGGCTGTCACTACCACCTGCACCAACCTTTCCTCCAGCTACGGACGGACGGCCGCCGTAGGATGCGGTCCTGGGCGGACGGCTCGGGCGGGCGGACGGACGGACGGCTCGGGCGGACGGACGGACGGCTCGGGCGGACGGACGGACGGCTCGGGCGGACGGACGGACGGCTCGGGCGGACGGACGGACGGCTCGGGCGGACGGACGGACGGCTCGGGCGGACGGCTCGGGCGGACGGACGGACGGACGGACGGACGGCTCGGGCGGACGGACGGACGGCTCGGGCGGACGGACGGACGGCTCGGGCGGACGGACGGACGGCTCGGGCGGACGGACGGACGGCTCGGGCGGACGGACGGACGGCTCGGGCGGACGGACGGACGGCTCGGGCGGGTGGACGGACTTCCGCCCATCACATTAAAAGATCACACTCGGTTAGCTGGAGGACAATAAAAAGCCGAAGAGAACCAAGCAAAAGGTTGGTGCAGATGGTGGGGACAGCCAGGGGGATGGCCTTGAGCAGGGAAGGGCAGACGGAGACCCAGCCCACAGTCAGGACTGCATCCCACGGCGGCAGCGCAGAATGGAATAACCATGGAGTGAAGAGTCCCAACACTACCAAGGGGATTACCGGAGGTGATGGAGGTGGAGCACACCATGTAGCCAGAGAAGCGATGAGGCAGTGAGACACAAAGACCTAGGCGACCATGACTAGGCCACAGCGCCGACCCCCTGAAGTGGAAGCAGCGATCCTGAGGTTAGAGGCAGAGCTGCAGCAACCATAGTTGGAGGTGGAACCTTAGGGAGGGTGGAGCTAGTCAAAGGCGAATGAGGTGGAGAGCCGTAGGGCAGCGAATGGGCCGCAAGTCCATGGCAAAGAAGATTTAATATCCAACAGAGGGAGGCCGAATGGCCGATGGTCCACGCTGGAGTCAAGGGTGGTAAGAGAGCACAGCTGCATTCTCACTGGGAAGAACGCTGTAGACCAGAATCTGCACTGCTGGAGCCATATCGACACCGTCACTTTGTTTACAATTGGAGTCTTATCAAAACGAGTCACGGATATCTGTTACGAATGATCAAGATTAAAGGGGAAACAAAAAAAAAAACACATGATCATCATCATCCATTTGATCACTGGATGGCAAACAAACCAAGAGTAGTGGTTCACAAAGCTTATTTTCACCATCTAGAAAGTTTAGTAAACAACTCCAACATAAAAACAGAAAGCTTCTGTTCGCTTCAAAGCCTAATGGTACTAACCTGGTTCTTTAAGTCCATCAACAGCAAAGAGAAAAAGGGTGAAACTGAGCTTCTTCCAAACACAAATCTCTCTCACAGCCATGAGGACAGATCACCCAAGACTAACCCTTATCAAGCCACTCTTCAGACTCTAATATATAACGCATTCATCTCGTTAATTCAATTAATTAACCACCACCTGGCAGTAATTAATGTTATCATTTGATTAGGAGTTCCAACTGGCATTGATTTGAAACACGACAGATGGCGGTTATAGCGGACGAATTTTATAGTTCCAATATCAACACTATACAATTTTAAAATATAGCCTATTGAAGATATTACTGAACATTTATTTAACCATAGCAAAAGTAAGTTTCTTGTGTTCATTTTAAACATGTCTGATATTATTATTATTATATCTGTTAATTAACAGTTGATTATCCTATATTTAAGAGAACTTTGTCCAAGTTGTGCAGGCGGGGCATGTTGTCACTCTGCGTTGCAATGAGCAAATGATTAGAATTGCTTTTCTACTCTATACTTGTATGAACTCTATTGAGAAACCATGAGAAAAGGGTGAATAAATTCTGAGATTCAATGTTCAGAAATTATAGATAGAGGGTTTGCACGTCACCGTTGGCATTCGTAAATATACGAGTAAATAAGCTTGTTTGAGATGCGCCTCGCCTCGCCTGCAATGTCGTCGAGAGTAGGCGGCTGCAGTTAGAGGAGGAGTGAAAAAAGTGGAGTCAAGCCGGACAGATATCTCGGTTCTCGCGGTGGGTCTGACACCTGTGAGATCAAAGACTGATATCGCGGGATTCACGGGATTCACGCTCGTGCACGTGTTGCTAATAAACTGGATACAATTTTAAG